AAGAGAAATATAAGGAAATTTCAGTTAACTGTTTTGTTTCTACTGATCATTTCAACTAATCATTTTTTGAGGCAAAAAGTGGGATTTTTGGAAAGTGTGTTCTGCCCTTGTAGATTCAAAAACGGTAAAGGACATCATTTTGGTGTAATGAGAACAGTGTTTCTTTGCACTGTTTTTCCAACACAACAAGGAAATATGGGATAGGGATTCTTTAGTCGCCACCATTTACCATGATTACAGTGTTTGGGTAAAATTTATAATCTTCAGGTATTCGCTTTTGCATCCAGAGAGTTGGTCTAATCAGAATGTAATTTGTGCTGATTGAGAAAGTCTAGGTGGGGCAATCTGATGGAAAGAAACCTTGGAGAAAATATTTATGAATTTGAGAGTTTATTTGGGTGTGTAGAATAAAAAATAATTTTGTTTTTGTCCCACATTCTGATACAGACAACTAAAATCCTTGAAAGTTCCTGGGTAGTAGGAGTGTCTTTCCTTATTTATCAGGAGTCCATATTAGGCGATGTCTGAATTCTTTAATGATATAACAGAATTGAACCCTGGGCCTTGTGTATTCTAGACAGTTGCTTTAGCACTGAGCTGCATCCCCAAACCTTTTTTATTTTGCAACAAGGTCTCACAGAGTTGCTCAGGCTGGCTTCTTGATCCTCCTGCATCAGCCTCCCAAATAGCTGGGATTTCAGGCTTGCTCCGCCACACCTGACTCCAGCCTTTGTTTTTAAATTTCATTTTGAGACAGGTTTAGTTATTCAGTATGGCCTTGAACTTGCCTCAGCTTCTTGAGTAACTGTGATTACAGGCAAGCATGTCCAACCCCAACTCTAGGCCTTTTATTATTATTTTTTGCCCTTTGTTTCTCTTCATCTATTGATTTTTGGAATTTTGTCATTTGAATTTTTGAGGTGGCTGATTACATTAATGGATTTTAAGTTCTTTTATGTTTATAATAGATCCCACTTAGTTTTGGCATATAATTCTGCTTATGAATTGAAGGATGTAATTGATATTCGGTGAGGATTTTTTCATCAAATAAGAGATGTTTGTGGGTTTTGTTTTTTTCTAACATCTCTAGTTTTGATATGGCAATATGAACATCATGGCATAGATTATTAAGTATTAACCTCTGCTTCTATTACTGGGAAAAGATTGTAGATGATTTTCATTAAATATTAGTCAAAACAAAGCAGTGAGACCATGTGAGCCTGGTCCTTCCTATTATTGTTTTAATTTCTTGACTACATATAGTCTTATTTACATTGATGTTTTTTGTTTTTGTTTTGTACTGAGGATTGAATTCAGGGGCACATCCCCAGCCCTATTTTGTATTTTATTAAGAGACAGGGTCTTACTGAGTTGCTTAGTGCCTCGCTATTGCTGAGATTGGCTTTGATCCTCCTGTGTCACCCTCCCAAGCCACTGGGATTACAGGCTTGCGCCACCATGCCTGGCTTTCTGTGAGAGTTTTTGTAGATTGCTACTTTCTAGGAATTGATAGATTTCATACAAGTGATAAAGTTGATGAGCATGGTAATTGTTTATAAAATTCCTGAATCTGCTGTTGAATTAGTAACTTTAAACAATGGACTTTCTTGAGAGCTGCACAATGCTCCTAACATTGCACATTTGCAACTGAAGAATGTAACTGAGGAAATAGCTGCATACTGTGGCTAACTCTGTAACTTTCATGAATACAAAGAATAATGCTTGCATAGTCTTTAATCTAATTTAGAGACATATAATAAAGATTGCTGGTGTAATTCTTTAGACCTGCTTTTCCATCAGAGAACAGTGCTCAGTCCGACCCCAGCTGTTTTATCTTCAAGATCTGCCAGTGTTGATTCTTTTTTCTTCCAATCTCCCATTGCTCCTCTCCGGAACCTGATAGTTTGGCCACACTGGTCGCGGCACTTGGGTTTGATCCCTAGCACTGGAAAAATAATGAAAAGAATGTGTGCTTGGCCATTATTAGATAAAGCATTCTGCCATATCCAATGACTACAGAAATCATGCTGTTGATTTCAAATATACCATTAGTAATTTTCTGTCTTCTTAATTTGTCAATTACTGTTGAACTCTCCAGACATGTTTGTGTTGAATCTCAAGATATGGTTGATCTATGATTTTCCTTTCAGTTCCATGCTTTTGCCTTATGTTTGATGCAATTTTTTTAAATATTTATTTTGTAGTTTTCGGCGGACACAACATCTTTGTTTGTATGTGGTGCTGAGGATCAAACCCAGGCCGCACGCATGCCAGACGAGCGCACTACCGCTTGAGCCACATCCCCAGCCCCTTGATGCATTTTTTAGGGGAATACATATTAAAGATTGTTGTGGTTTCTTGGACAATGGACTGCTTTATATTTAATCCCCTTGTTCTTTATTATTTTGTTATCAGATACAGCTTAATTAGTCTGTATCTTCTAGATGGTTTCTTATATCAATGCTAAAATGGTATATCATTCTAGATAAATTTATTTAGTCTTCATCTTTATATTGATCTTATTTTTCAAATATTTACACTTTTTTATTGAAAAAAGATTGCATACAATTATAATATCTAGTGTTTTGTTTTAGAACTTAATTGTAATTACATTCTGTTGACTATAATTAAGATCATTGTATTGTACCCTGAAAAACATTATGCAATTACATTTTAAATAAGGAAAACAGTATTTAATGGACACATAAACAAAAAACTGACTCACTACATAATAAGCATAGTGTCCTGCTGGGAGTGGTTGTGCACATCTCTAATTCCAGTTGCTTTGGAGGCTGAGGCAAGGGGATTATAAGTTGGAAGACATCCTGGGTACCTTAGCAAGATCTTGTCCCCCAAAAAAATTTGAAGAAAGGGATGGTGATGTTGGTTAGTGGTAGAGTTCCTGTGTGT